AGCCACTAAACAACGCTTTGGCAAGGGCTGCGGGTACACCGCCTCGTACAAAAGTTTGTTTAAAGCACTGGCGATCGATCGAGAAGGATGACAATCGATGTTCGTCTACTTTGTCAGAAACACACAGTCCAAAATTGCCAGCCATACCGAGGGGACTGTACAACTACATTGACCACCATGGGGAAAATTCCAAGAAATACCGCCCAGGCTCGAAATGGTGCTACAAATGTCGAGCATCTTGCTACAATCAACCTGGATTGTCAGTCATTGAAAGACGAAGGGTAACATTCATATATAAGAAATGTAAATACATATTCCAATACTTCCACCAAAGCTTTCTAAGACCTCAAAACTGAATATTATCTTTATTAAATATTGCAGAAAAACAAAGAAAGAAAACAGCTAACAAATGATATTGGTGTAGAGGAGGCACTACAACTGTTCAGAGTGGAAAAAGAAAAGTGTGAGGAACTGAAAAAGGAGCTGACTGCAATACAAAGTCAACTTTCAGGGATACAAGGTTTCACTGACAAACAAAAATCTTTTCATTCTTTGACTCTGACTAAAAAGCCGAAAATGCTATTTGTGATACTTAGATATGCAAGAGTAGATTTAAATACTAGATTATTAACAATCTCTTTCAGAAATGTCTTTGAAGTCCAAGTTAAAAAACTCCAGCTTTCCCTCTACAAACATTATGGGACTGAACAGGGCAATCTGTATGATCCCAGAGATATGCAAGAATTTGCTGCAAAACATTCCCCTGGTCTTTGGGAGACCCTCCTGAAAGCCTTGACAGGAGATCGTGGTGCACTAACAAGTGAACGGGCTGACCTGCAAAAGAGGCGGATAGTTGCGTTACTTCACATTCTTTTCTTATTTTAGGTAAGTAATAATTTAAAAAATGATTATTTTTTAACAAAATCCAGCCAAAAAATTTTTGGTAGTAAATATTAAAAATATATAATATCATAAATTCCCACACACACAAAACAGAGATTAATGAGATGCTTATCTCGTCAATAACAATAATAAGTATTGTTGCAATCATATCAAAAGAATAATTAAATTATTACATCTTTAACAGTTCTGTAATGTTATTTTTATTTTTAGATCACAGAAAACAAGTCATTTTCAGAAAACAAGTGGACTGCATGCATCAGTGAGCGGCCTTTCGCTAGATGGTCTTTCGGCTGGTCAAGTGTTAGGCTTTTCAGCAAACCCACGAACAATTGAAAAATTCAGGAAAGAACTTGCTGACAACCATCCCCAGTTTGCAGCAGAACAGATTTCTAAGGGAACAAATGTAATTAAAATATTGTCACAATAATATTTTGGCCTAATAGTTTTGTTCTCAAAAAGGTTACAAAAGTCAAGATTACAAAAACAACAGACAGTTTTATATCATTGACATGTTATTTGTGGGAGATGGATAAAATCTCTGTAAATCTGATAAAATGTTCTTATTTTTGAACAGCTGAAATGTTTTATGATATTCATGCTGGATGACTACCACATTTATTTATTTATTTATTTGTAAGATTCGTACAAGTACAGGTGCTTAACAATAGGACATAAGTCCCCTACTTGGTTAATACACCCACACCCAACCCCCTAAAAAATATCCCGAAAAAACCGTTCCCTGACCCGACTAAACTACAAATCAAATAATCTAAATAACACAAATACAATCTAAAATATACTAATCAACTTAGCAAGTACAGACAAAGGAAATATTAACACAGCGACACTTAGGACAAATTAATTTAAAAGAACGAAAATTGTCACCATCAAAAACATTTAAAAGTGCCCCAAAAGCTCAGAACATCAACAGCTGTACACATGGCCTCCAGCTTACTGGACATCCACATGAGCGTTCCAGCAATTTCCAAGACATCACAAGCCCCTCTCCACCGCCCAGTACCAGTTTTCATAGAAGGACAGGTGAAAGTGTGCCAGGGTGGAATTGCTTCTGAGGTGGTAAAGAGCATAATGGCAGATGCCTTGAGAAGTATGCAGACAACGTACCTTCACCAAATCCATCCCAAACTGGCTCAGGTAGATCCAGCAAAGTTAATACAGTCAATGCAAGAAATGACGTACATACAGTTAGTCTTTTGAATGAAAACAGGTAAGACCCTATTTTTGTTGCATAACAAGATATTGATTTAGGAATATTTTTTCTTCTATTTGCAGGGTTTACAATGGAGGTAGTCAAGACGAGCTGGCAACATTAGAAACTTGCACACTGCTTGATGTTTTTGAGCATGAGTTGAAAAGCAAAGAAAATTATAGAGATGCGATACTGTACCTATTTGAGATGTACCCAGCTTTAGAAGAGTATGCGAAGTGCTACCATTTACTTTTACCAGCTGACTGGCCAGGATTTTATTATCCCAAGAAACTAATCGCACAAGGAAAAGAAAAGAGAATTGCCACAATCATTCCAGAGCAGGGACAATTTCATGTTTACTTGAATGCTGTGGAAGACGTTGTTTTGATGTTTAAGTTCTTTTTTGATGAAATGTACAAAGCTGTTTTTGGTGGAATTCTTGCAAAGAAACCTAAACCCTACCGCTCCACATTATGTGTCACAGCAGCTTTTCTTGGATGGAGCCTTGTACGTGACAAAATACTGCCAAAATTTGGCTCATGCAAGTCTCATGAGTTTGTTTCAGTCCTTTATCTTCTTTACCATGTTGTGCCAATTGTGTTTTTCCAATACCAAGCATTCCGGAGTGGTGATCTAAACGACTTTGAGAACTTAATGATCCAACTGTCCATAATATTCATCTCATGGCAGCGCAGACACTATAACAAATCAACCCTCTCTTTTCTCAGTGACATGGCATATCAGGAAACATTCCATCCAGCTTACTATCAAGTGAAACAGAAATGGCTTTCTATCATCACCGAGAAAAAAGTAGAAATTTTTCACTCTTTATTGAGAAAAGACACAAGAAATTGGAGTACAGGACCAGAAATCCAAAACACTGCTAGAACAATAGGATCATCTGGATTTCTTGCATATTTCAAGGAATGGTTCGTTCCAACATATCAACGAGGCACCAGTGAAGCAAACTACTGGAAAATAGCTGGGAAGACAGCAGAATATTTGTTGGAATTATTTAAGAAAATAGCTACAAACATGGACAAAGCTAGCGAAGTATATACGCGTTGTTTACAGTTTATTGTTTTTTGGCCCCATGTTCAATTCACATCCTCCACTAAATGATACACCTAACAAATTGTAAGCCTTTTGTTTTTGTTTTTTAATAGGTTCCTCGTGCAACGTCCAAAAATGGTAAACCAAAAGGGAGGCAGACATTTGAACTCCCATCTTTTGGTGCAAATGTGGATGTATGTAGCTTTCCGTTATCATATCAAAACGAACAATTTGGTCAGGTGCAGCCTGATATAGAGGCTTTATGTGACCTACCATCACGTCGTTCCTCTTCTAGAAGACCCATTAGAAGATTGGCATGTTTTCACACCTTCCACGAGGCATGTGCATCGGCAACTGGACCATGTCCCATCTGTAGGATTCCTTTGGAGAAAAAAATTGAAGAACTCAGTCAATCATTTAACAAAGGACTCTTATCTAGCACCTGTGAACATGATAGCTCTGACAGTTCTGATGATGATGATTTTGATACAGAACAGCACCTCCCAAATCCCTCTACCAACACCTGTAATTACTACACTTCACAAGCTTGGGAAACACCATCACCAATGCCACTAATGCATATAATCCAGTGAAACAACCCACAAATGCCAACAGAGTACAAACACTTCTTCAACCAGCTCGACGACCATCTCAAACCTTTCAAGACCAACCATCTGATCAAACTCCTGAAGGCAGGCCCCCATCTCAAGTTTTCATTTCTGGACTACCAACCCTTAACATATCCATTCCAGTCACAATGCACCATCACTTTTCAAGCTGGCACTTTCCTAAAAATCTGTCACAATCTTCAATTCAGGGACGGAGCGGAAGCAATGCTTGTACTCATAGCCCTAACAATGGCAAAACTGTTTCACACATTTCCTTTACAGTCCTGTTGATCCTACAGCACCCCTTAACTCAACCTTAGCATATCTCATAGTCTCTGGCATGTTAATTGGAAATCAGAATTATGATAGAGTAACAAAGGGAGTACCGCAATATTTAAGTGTTAGAGAAGGTGTGTCCAACTTAAGTTTTCTTGGAAGTGGTACAATTGGAAGAGAACTCCCTGTCAGCATCGTGGATGAGAATGCTCCATCAGCCTCGCTTCTACACCACTTGAATCTTACACTCAACTCAACAACCAGGACAGCGCACCTATTCATACTAGGTGAAAACACTGTTGCATTCATTCCACTGACAAACAATCAACTTTTGCTGGTGGACAGCCACTTACATGGCCACACTGGAGCTCTGGTAGCACACTGTGAATGCACGAGCCTTCCTGAACTTTTAAATTGGTTCAGAACTTTCAACGCTTACCAGTATACACTTGGCACAGTAACAAAAGTAACATTTAATTAGGCAAGGTGATAGTTGAAAACTGTAAATAACATTCATGAGTTCTTTCATAAATCTACAGTGTAAAGCTGGCTTTAATATCTAATTATCCAGTATTCTTTGAAGTGAATTTCTGAATTTCATCATTCGAGTTCTGAACAAAATTTATATTGAAATTAAAATATACACTTAAGTTTAAGGTGATCTAAGGAGTGACTGAAATTTTTAGGCCCTAAATTTCATTCTTATGACGTGATAAAGAAAGGTAATTTTTACGTCATGCGTTGCTCAGCTACAGTGTCATGTTAAGGTAAAAAAAAAATTGACGTTTATTTTCTAGGAGCTGGAGTTAAAGTTTGAAGCAACATAGGCAATAGGCATTTTTTAAACTGTTGAAGGGCCTCTCTTTACATTATTAATTTATTATTTATTTATTCATTTATTACGATTTAATGACTACAAAGAATAAAAATACGCTATAAGCTTATGGACGATGTGTATTTTTTTTCTCTCGTGGTATTTCCCCCGCGCTGCAAAACTGGAGAAGTTGTGCTTTCGAGGACAAAGAAAAGCGAGAGTTGACGTTGAATACAGAGTAAGAACGTTTATTTAGGGATCTATTTTGCTGTCATTTCATTTCTTAGAATTGAAATTTGTTCTAAATAAGAGCTTAAATGCATCGGATTCACCGACATTCGATCAGTTAAGACTTACTCACCTCGTGTTATTCCAGCTTCGCAAATCACCATAAATAACTCCTTCATGTCAATTTACATGCCATGTGCTATACTTCTTATTATTCCTGTACGTTAACTTGACGATAAAAATGAATCCACTGAGTTCTAAGGTCCATTTCTTGGCACAAACCAGACAAACAAAACGTAGAACGAACAGAACAGAAAATCAACTCGAATAAACGACAAAATCGGATTTCGGCGCCAAAGTCTCGCGCAT